GTCCATGCGATTACGATAATCAGACCATACATGTTTCATATGGCTAACGATTATGATCGTAATCAATTTGAGAAAAGTCTTCATTCAGAAATAGAATTTGAACAAATATCGCAGCGAAACAGTAAAACCAGAAAAATCGAAAAAAACTAAAAACATCAGAAAAATCGGAAAGAACCTGAAAAATCAGAAAAATCAGAAGGTCAGAATAAAATCAGAAAAATTTTTGAAATTCAGAAGCTTTCCTGCCATTTCAGAAGATCTGGCAACCCTGACCCACACCCACATCCATACCCACACCCACCTACACCCACACCCACACCCACCCACACCCACCCACACCCCACACCCACACCCCACACCCGCACCCGCACCCACACCCACACCCACACCCCACACCCACACACCCCACACCCACTCACACCCCACCCACACCCTCGATTATGGTTGGTAAGTGAGTATATGCCCTTAACTTTGAACAGTAAGAGAATTCCAGTGAAGAGCTATTTAAGATGTCTCAAATCCTGCACGTTTGTGTCATGTAAACTGAAGTCGTACATGCATACTTTGACACAATCGTAGATAGCTTTTTATTGGACCTTTGATGAATTAAACATTTTTTACAGCTCTGAGAGCTTTTTATCTAACGCAAGCATTGCTCTTATGTTATCCGAAGTCTCTCAAAGCATATTTGTGTGAAACGTAGGAAAAGAAGGATTTACAGAGAAAAGAAGGACAAAGAAGGATGACCTGAAAAAAGTAGGAAAGAAGAAGGAAAGAAGGACCGCTGCGAGATCTGGGTCCATTCAATGTGTGACCTCCGTGGACGCTAGTTCGAAGAGAACTCGAATACCAACACCAAAATCTTGCTCTGTTTACAGTTTTTCCATAGTTTTCGTTCTTGAATAATTATCTTTTTCGGTTTCAATTAGTTTCTTTTCAATGGACTGTTGATCTTATGTGATTATAGAAACTAAATAGAGTTCCAATACAAAAACTGGCTTATGACGTTCATATTGATAATTCGGTCTAATGAACTCTAAATATGGCACTTAATTTAGAAGAAGAAGAGCACTGCATAGTTTAGCATGCTCTGTTAATAAGAGCTGAATACATTGAAACTCTCCAAGAATATATCAAGCAAACTCTACATCTTCGTAAATTTATCAATAGAAATTGCATAAAAAACAGTAGTGAACTCTACATCTTTCTTAATTTATAGATAGAAATTGTATAGAAAAAAAAATGAATTCTATCAATTTTAAGTATTCAGAACGAAAGTGAAACTTTGATTATCATTAAAATTATTATCAGTAAATTTTATAAATTGAAAAAGAATTTAAAATTTTCGATTGTCTTTCTAACAATAATTTGAATATTTCAATTAGTTTGTTCAGTTGAAATATATTTTTCAATAATTTGCAGAACGAAAATTTGAAACGTTGACTTGCTTGTATCGGTATAATTTAAGTTGAAAAATAAAATGAAACCGAATTTCAAAATTTTCCATTTCATGTTAGCAAATGAGAGGATACCGTCTTTAGAGTATGTCAGACGATGTCGTCTGTAGCATTTCAAGAGGCATCTATAGCATCAGAGATAATGTCTGTAACATCCCAGACTATGATTGTAGGACTTGAAATGCTACGAATAGCATGTCAATGTATCCCTCTCAAAGCTACATTTAGTACGTGTATTAGAATTAAAAATACTATTACATTAATGAAAACAATTCAGGATTAATTACTGAATTGCTATTACGGCTGAAGCTTTATTCTTAATGTTCAATATTCATAGAATAAGCATTATCATTAGTTTAATACTAATGTTAAGCTGACACTCTTATTCATTCCTAAATCCTGCGTGGAAGTGCCGTGCATAAGTTTCCTATTAACTATTGAATACAGAGCTGAAAGGCATCTCAATTTGTACAAGTATGTTATTGTCAACAGATGGATAATGTGAGATAAAACAAACGATTTTTATATTAGACATTCTGTTTTAAGGTTTCTTAATATCTATATCAACAATATTCTGAACTCCTCTTCATATCTCAATTATTTTTAATGATATCTTTTTATTTACGAGAAAATCTACCAGAGGATTAGATAACATGATTGGAGAAAAGATTGTAATTCTAAATGTAATTATTTTAAAACATTGATCTTATGTAGTCAAATATTGACTGTATGTTAAATTCAATCAAGAAAATTTAGTTTATTTTCAAATTTTCAACTTATAACTTGTGAAAAAGAAAACATTGGAGTTTTTCCAACAATTTAATGTTAATAAATCCAATTCAACATGTATTTATTTCAATTTTAAGTACACATATGAAGAATTTACAATAAGAGAATTTTCTAATATAATTTATTTATTATTAAAGCCAAATTTTAACTGCATCGGAAGAAACTTGTAATCGAAATAGTCGACTAAGTGGATATTGATGTAGTTGTTGTCGGTTTAAATGTGGAAAACAAGGTGTATCAGAG